TATAGAATGTGACCTGTAGAATCCATAATTTCAAACAGTTCCAAGATTGGGCTACTAGTTCAAAAATTACAGTCCTTTGAATTTTTTTTCGACATTGGTTTCTAGTCCATAAATTGTTTTGGATTCTACGCAACAAAATTAATAAGAAGAAGTGTTTTCCGGAGAAATTTTGCTGTAGTCGATTCGATTTTTGGTAAAAGAGGAAGGTTATACACTGCCTTTTATTGAGGGCCGGATAGAAAATTGTCTCAGATCGACCCGGATCGACCAGAATCCATAATTTCAAACAGTTCCAAGATTGGGATACTAGTTCAAAAGTTACAGCCCTTTGAATTTTTTTTAGAAATTGGTTTCTAGTAGTGATGTGGATTGTAAAATAACGATTTGTAATTTACATCAAAAACGGTTATATTACGCGTAACTTACAAGAGGCCGGTTTTTTTATGTAATTTATGTCTTTTATGAAACTTACGTTTTTAATTTAAAAAACCGTAATTTTTGTAAGTTACATAAATGTAATACCTATTGGATACATTTTGATCGGTACTACCCACAGACCATCAACGGTACTACCAACGTAAACGATTCACCGTTGAATTTAGTTTGGTTTAATGAAGATGATACAGCCTCTAATTCGCGATCTGGAGCTTCTTCCTCCAAACCACGCGTGATGGCGAAATACCTACTGCTTGGGTATTTTATTTAATACACCAAAATATATAATTTAACAAGTGTTTTTATTTTCAAACACTCACAAAATTCAAAAAGGTTTATACAATATTGAAAAAAAACATAAAAAACATAAATGACAGGTAATTTTACAAAAATATTTGTAAATTACATAAAAAACATAAATTACTGGTAATTTTACTGTAAAATTACGGTTTTTTAAAAAAAATTGTAAGTTACATAAATTACATAAAATACATAAAAAACATAAACAATTGGTAATGTTACACGTAATATTACGCACTTTAAAAAAACGTGTAATTTAACATCACTAGTATCTTGTGTTTAGTTACAACCTTCAACTAGTTCAGGGAATAAAGACAAAAAAAGATCAAACTTCGGAAAATGCCGGGAAAGTTGGATTTTTGCATGAATCTTCTTTGTGTAGTTCTAAACAGCATCCCAAAAATCTCCGCCCATGCAAGCGCCGCTAAAGATTTTAGGCGGCGTCAAAGCTTTTGCGCATCGGCATATAAATTAATTCCTTATTGTTTTCGAGTATTTACTTCTGTGAAAAGTAGCTGCCAGTAATTGCAGGTAAAAATAAAAGACACTGTTTACATGTTGGATACGTGCATTACTTTGCATTATTATCGACTTTGAAACTTTTACGAAAATTACTTTTTCCTATATTTTAATAAGTTTCATTTAAAGTTCTATTACAATTCAATGATACCGCTAAGGGATGGAAACTGTATCTTACAACCTTTGAATTGAATTTTGGCATGCCGATTTAGGGGTGCTAACTTAACTCAGCCGACAATTTGTCCGCTTCTGATAACTAACCCGCGAATTTTTATTTTTTCGATACCTAAACAGTTCGCTCTCAAATCCAAAAGAGTATCTCCTTTTTAAGGCCTCCAACACTAATCTCCATTGTATTTAGATAAATAAACCCTCTCAAATTGTCGGATTAACTTGGAAATGGCGATTTCTATATTTTTAATTGGTTAGTAAGTATCCTTTACGTCATCAATCACAACTGTTATCCAAAACCCACCAAATTTATCATGCGTTTTCCACGCGTACTTGTTATCTGGTGCAACGCAAGAAATTTAATACTAGATCATCGCTAAAACTGATGTAATCCGATACAAAAATCAGACTTCCTAGCGTTGACCAGTTCAATTAAACAAAAATCTAAAAAAAACACACGAAAACAATCGGGCGCCTCTTGACTCCGGAAATTTTTTCCATTACACCAAGTACAATATTTGTCTGTGGAATATATTTCAATTTATTTTTTACCCTTTTCTTAAGTATATTCAAAAGTTAACATATTCTGAATTCCTACTTTAACATACAACTACCAAACTGCCCCCAGAAATTTTAGACCGTCCTTCTGACTTACCAAATGCAATGATATATGTATAGATGCATCAAAAAATAAAAAAGGTCTCCAATTGGTCTCCAATGGTTTGGGAAGCTTATTTACAACATTTTAATATATTATGTAATCGTTTGCAACTTTCTAATGAGGAAATCATTATAAAAACAAGAAATTTGGAAGATGAAAAGAAATTATGTTTAAAAAAGCTTAATTTAATAGACGAAGTCTTCTTGAACAAGCCCGTAAAATATATAAGAACCTTTTTACAAGATCGAGAATACCTTAATTGGACTAAATTGACTGATAAAGTGATAAAGGTAGAGGTGTAATCCAGGAATAATATTCTAGATCGCTCTGGACTTTCTTCTTCAAAATTAAAAGACGCAATAAAAAAAATATAGTTTGTACCGAGAATTTTGCCAGTACCAGAAGGGTTGGCTATGGATAAAAAGAAGAATGTCGGTTGGATTATTGATCCCACTGTTAGACTCGAAGTTGACGAACTACAAGCCATTAATGTAAATTTAGAAAAACAAAAGCTTTATGGTCCAACAATGGTCTTTTTGAAGAATCTTATGGATTAAAAAAGTCGATATCGCATTGTTGATGTTAGCGGAACAATTACCAATTTTCCACACTTTTGGATTACCATCAAAATTGTGAAAATTAGCAATAACTACCATAAAAAATTCCATTTACATTTAAAGAAATCATTTGTATAATTAATTCGATTGCTTTTTTTCATGTTCAAATTTTTATTGTATCCTTTGTGTCACATCTATAAGATTCTAGAGAGATCCAGATAGTTTTTAATTAAAGACGGTTACCGTTGCATTAAAAATTCTACTATAAGTTATTATAACATGGTAGTTTCAAATAGTGAAGGACTGAACCAACTTTAGGAGGGGTCAGAATCTTAATATCGGTGTTTATGCCAATTCCATTTTTTAAACATTTAAGTTACTAGCCAAAAGAGGTTGTCTCTGTTGCTTTCCCATATTAATTTTTTTGCACTAATGTATACTTACTGTTGATTTATGGAAAATTTATCACTAACCTTTTTATTATCTACTGAAAGCGATTAATGTAAACTTCCCTTTGACCGGTCGACTAACAGAAGGGGAGCCAAAATTATATTATCTACTCCTACGCATGCAAACTAAACACTTCAAGCGGTTTAACTCCCGAATTTCCCTCCTCAATTAATCTATGAAGAGAAACCTTAGACAAAAGAGTCGCAAACTTCTAGGTCCCGGCGCATTTTTGTAAAACAAAAGCATTGCCATTGAGTTAGAAATAAACGGGTTGGGTTAATGCGCCGAATTTTAATCGAAAATCGAAACGAAAATGCAAATTGCAGATGATCATTTGCTACTTTTGCTGTGTGTCCAGTGAGACTGCAGTGCAATTCCAATTAAGTTTTCCCGCATTGTGCGCTAGATCAAAAGCGTCGCGCTTATCGTTTCTCTAATTGCACAAGATTTTATGTGTTGCCATTACAGTAAGTGGCAGCGAACCGTGAATCAAAAAAAAATGGTATCTAATATAACGATTGTTTATTCATTTAATAATGGCAACGTAATGGAATTACGCGGAAGGGACTGTCTATTTGCATACAAGTCCCTACTTCCCAAAATAGTAATTCCATTTGCCCGAACCGCTATTTCATAATTTACGAGCCACGTTCCTTTAGATGTAAAGTAGTAACGTAAGGAAATTCAATTGCATGATACTTTTCTCGTACCGTTTACGACACAAAAGTCAATAACGTAAGGACCTACCTGTAGGACTTGGGGTTAACTCTTTCATCGCAGTTTGCACTTGTAAGTCGTACTTCTTGAACAAGTCTAACTTGCGTGACAAGGACGATTCGGCATTGCTCACCGATTTCCTATACTCGCGCGTACCGAAAGCTTTATATGGAACCATCATCCCGACGCTCAAAATTAGTTTAGACGACGAGGTCGGTACATTTAGAGGAGATTGGATGTGATCCTCCTCGACGACTTCCGGCGCGATTGTTGTTACGACGCGTCCGCTTGAGGAACCGACGCGAATACCGTTTCCCCTGGCACTTGTACCGTTTTTACCACCGCCTATTCCAACTTTGAGACCACTACCCCTCTGTACGTTCCGGTCCTTCCACGCTGGCCCGCCGCTGACGACCAGCAACGCTAATGCAACTGTCAAAAGTAAAACGGCGAACTGCATCTTGAGTTTTCAGTACTTGAAAAGTTTTGCGGGACCGCAAAAGCTCTCGGAAAACTTTTCTCTCATCGCTGCATTAGTCTCGCCGAGCTAGTAGTAGACTCTAAAATTTGAATGGAACAATTTTTGGAGTATTTTCAAAGTTGAGAATGGGCAGTAACGCCTCGCGCAGTTTTTGACCACGGTCGGCTGTTTGCGATAGACGCGGCAGTAAAACTGACGACGAGCGTCTCTTGCATTGCGGAGTTTCAACGCCCATTTGCCCAGTCTTGCGCACAACTTCGAAAATTGCAATATTTGGAATAAAGACATAAACGTAGTTATTTACTTGGATATGCACATCTAAATCTATTTCCTCTAAGCTTGCAAGTTATTAAGTTTCCGCTCCAGAAACTAGAAATCCATTCATTACCCTATCACTAATGGAAATGTGCGATCTAGGCAGAGTATGGATTTTTGAAAATTATAGTGCGGTTTTCATAGTCGGGCGATTATAACAAACTGGATTGGTTCTATCCTTTCTGTTAGTACAACTTTTTCCACTTTTCCCGAAAAGATAACGACACTTGTTACGTTACGTGCCGGGAAAATATGAAGCACTAAATCCTTTGTGGCGAGCTTTCACTGTAGGTCAATAATTCATAATCATCACTTAGCCCTTTTATAGGTGAAGCGTCGGCATGGAATCTTTATTTTTATTGTCGGTGTGATGCATGGGCTGTTTTAAGCGGTAATGAATAACTCGAAACATCATGATGCCATTTTCCAGAAAAGTGTCAGTCGAGACCAGAACAGGTAGTCAGATGAAAGTGGTTTATTATGTTAATCGACAGATGAACATGCCAATTACAAGAGTAGTTGTAATAGCATGAGAGCTCATTTGTTGTGACTACTTGTCTAACACAACAATTAATTATAAAAATATGTTTAACTCACACGTGTGCGCAATATTTCATGCACTACAAAGTTTTGACGTTGGGAAAACATCATGTAAAGGGGAGTTTTCCTAGAAAAATTAGTATTTTAAACACGGGGAGGCCTGACCCTTTTATATGCACTTGGCTTGTGCCTATAAAAGGAATGGGTCAACGAAAAAAACATTTAATGCACCACAAAAGTTGTAAGTCTGGCAACATTCACATATATGTACAAGTTTTCTGAGATACATTGATGTAATAAAACAGGAAGGAGTGACACGTTTATATGCCCTTATAAGGTCGCATGTGGACTATGTTATTAAAGTGGTTGTAGGACAATTCGCACTCGCACCCAGACATTTCGCACCAAGGAAAATTCGCACCAAAGATATTTCGCACCCGGACATTTCGCTCCCGGACATTTCGCACCGGGGCAATTCGCACCCGGACAATTCGCTCCCGGACAATTGGGACCGGAATAATTCGCACCAGAATTTCGCTCCCCTGAGAGGGTATTTTGTTTATGGTTGACTTTTAACATAGAAAGTCGGCTGTGAAGTATTAAATTAACTCAGAGCTTGAAATCTCCAATATTACTCACCAATATCACGTTTTATTACTTTGTGCATGTAATAGACGTATACCTACATTTAAAATTTGGATACTTTCAATATTAAGGTATAATTTGGAATCGTGACGTCCATTTTGTGTTCAAACTCTAAATGGGATAATTTATTAATATTGAATAAAAGTTCTCTAAACCGTTCCCATATAATTTAATAAAACGAAGTGATACACTACATGTTTCGACCAACGGTCATCTTCAGGTGATCTACAAGATGGTAGAGATCATTGAGGAGAGACTATATAGCTATAAAACTTACAATAGATGGAAAACAATTAAAAACCCAAAAGGGCAGTAAAACTGGAAAGGCCAACGACCATATCCGTGGTTGGTTCCAGAGTAAAATTGAAATTTGAAGAGGTTGATAAACTAAATTTTTTGCAAGGGAGGGCCGAACCTAAAAACTAACATTAGACGACGGTATAAGCAACGATGAAACTTACGTATAAAAAAGTCAAAAGGTCAAAAGACGATATCCTAACTAATTAAACACCCAATTAAGGGCTTTGAAACTGGAAACCATCTGCACTTCCAAAATCAGTGCTCGGTTTAGCTAATCTTACCTTGTCATCGTTGACCCAGATCCTGGCATGGCATGTTAAACTAAGAGCCGATGGATACTTCTTTGCTCTTTTCGCTCGACACAGACATGATGAGCAGTTTTGGAGTTTAAGGTTCTTAGCAAAGAGGTACATGTATCCTTTTTAGATTATGTATCTCTTTCCCCTTTTCGTTGTACCGAACTCCATTGTTACGCGCCCGTATAGTTTGCACCGCCTAAATCTCATATCCATTATCAACTTTTTGTAACAAATCAAATTTCAACTTTTAGCTTCAGTCCATTTTTGATGATATTTTCCTTGATTTTGGCATTTTAATGTGGCACTTAAATATTTATGTTGGTTAAACAATAGCCATACAATTTGTAGAGGAATAATTTTTTTAATAGTATTTATGAGGCAAGAATTTATACGTACAATCGTACGTACCTTTTTAAATGGAATGGACCATATCAAAGCAGTAGAGATTAGGTCACTTTAATAGCATCCATATCACTCAAAATCTGGAATTTAGTACTTATTTTATTGTAATCTCCGTATTATACATGAGAACACTTGCTAAAGGTACCATGAACGAACATTTATTTAAAAAAAAAACAAAAAAAAGCTAAAAAGACACTCATCCGTGATGTAAATTGTCCATGCACTCATGTTCACAAGTAGGTGGATGCTGCTAAACGCTGGTATCGGTCTATCAGCAAAACTGTCACCTGACATTTCTTAAATCTATTTACCCAGTTTTATTGTACCAATTCACAATCAAGTTTTTCATTTGGAAACCTTTTAGCACGTACAAATAATATTGCAATAGGAATATAAAAGTCTAAATAAAATATTAACAATTATTATTTCTTAATAGCTGCAAGTTAAGTTTCCTAGTTCTCTAACCTTCGATGTCGTCCATTTAAAGGACACATAACGAAATACGTATGTATTGTCTTAAAAGAATCTCAAGTAAATTATAATCATATTTGAACGTAAAACAAATAGATTCTTGAGAGTTTCCGTGAAATTAAATAGATAAGAACTGTAAAGTAACGAAAAAAGCAAAAAATGTTGATAAATATCGTGAAAAAATTTGATCTTGCTATAAATTATATGGCTATTATTTAAATAATATACCAGGTAATATACTGAAATTGTGAAGATCCATGACTCTCAATGGGGTACTTAAGAAGCTTCGGACAAATAACACCAAAATCTACCCATTTATTATTATAACAATTTTTATGGGGAGATTTTGGTGTTATTTCTCCGAAGCTAGATCGAGCAGGGCGGGACTTCAATTTCCAGTCGGGAGAATTCACAGGCTGCTTAGGAAGGGAAACTACGCGGAGCGAGTCGGTGCCGGCGCTCCCGTCTACCTCGCCGCCGTCATGGAGTACCTGGCCGCCGAAGTTCTCGAATTGGCCGGCAACGCCGCTAGAGATAACAAAAAGACGCGTATCATACCGCGCCATCTGCAACTCGCGATCAGAAACGACGAGGAATTAAACAAGCTCCTGTCGGGCGTCACGATCGCCCAGGGTGGCGTTCTCCCGAACATACAGGCCGTCCTTTTGCCAAAGAAGACGGAAAAAAAGGCGTAAGAAGTTCGCCTTTCCGTGGTGCATTAGAAACGATACATTTCTATTTCTATTTCTGTAAAATAAAATAATTTTCAAAAAACGCTTTGGCACGTCAAATTGATCATGGAAGGAAACAGTGTCTAAAATAAAACTTGCTCACTAATGTCTTTGTCTCGCATCGCTGACAGTGCAACCCTTAAAATCTTAAATGATGCATCGTTGGTAAGGTCGCCCATCTCTGAATTCGGATATGTAATTTTTTTGGTTTAGTTGTTTCATTTCCAGCGCATTCGACGTTGCAGGTACAAGTTTTCTTTTTTTTATACCACTTGCAACTGCATAATTTTGACGCACGATCGCATTAGCTTCTATTACATAGTGATCGGCCCGACATCCTTCCAATGACATAAACAACAGCGCGCCCTCAACTTACTTTTAAAATATTTCGAAAATATCAAATCTAAAAATTTATAGTCTCACCAAACTCAGAGAAGGAAAGCCTTTCCAATGATGTCCTATCTTCCTTGTTGCGCAATTACCAATGCTAAGGGTTTTGCTTTAGTACTAGGTATGCCATACAAAAATTAAAAAGGAAGTATATAGGTATTTAATAATTACAAACATTTAAAAGAAAAAATCATCAATATCGACCTGTTCCTAAAACGTTTCAAGATTTTCAAAACCCTTACTGTTTTGATTATTAACAATCTCTTAAAAAATGTCAGAATTTTTCCATGTATCTCTTCAAACTATAAAATAAATAACAGTAAGAAAATCACAAAGAAACTTTTAAGTTCATTCACTACCATAGTTGTAGCAAAGATAACGCAAAAAAATAAGCAGTTAGTGTAATTTTACTCAGTCACCAATAATCAACATATAGCCATATGTGGTCAAAGAAACGTAAAACTGGTTCTAAGAAAACTGGAAACTTACCTTTTCTGAACACCACCACAACACTACCACCAGAAATAAAATTTTTTAAAATTAAAAAAAAGTATACACAAAATCAAAACCCGTGCTCAGATACATTTTAAAATACCACTCTGTCAAACGTTCAAGAATGAAGATACTATACAGGCGTTAAAGTTCTAATTAGTTGTGGTCATACGTACCTACTTAAACCTGATTTTTCGGACCTAATTACTTTGACCTTGTAATAAACCCTATCCGAGTGCGAATTGTCCGGGCGCGAAATATCCGCACACGTATTAAAGTACCTACAAAAGTGACAACCCTCGCCATTGAGTTCTCATGCAAGCGCGAGTTTCTTACAAAAATTGGTAACTTTAAAATGAGCCCTGTAAAAAAAATTAACCAAGGAAACAACAATATTTAATGAAAGAAAAAAAATTTAATTAGGAGCAACAGTATTCAAATTATTCACGAAAAACTAGAAAAATGGATCTTTATCACCTCCCCCTCCCTTAGCTCGCACCCCACCCCTCTGTACTTTTAGTACGTTGTTCAGGGTACCTTCCCCCACATCTGTGCCAAAATTGACTTCTACGCGATTTTTTCCGCTATTTTTCCTTCGTTGCCTGGACTAGTAGTCTTTTTCCAGCTGTAAGCATAGGGTAAGTCACTCCAAAAATAATGACGCAACTGTATATGTGAAATATTTCAATTTAGTAAGTCAAGTAAATCTGGAAGGGTGGGGGGTATTTCCATATAACCACAAAATTGGTTTATTTCATTTGAATTGTTTATTTCCGTGGTTGTTTTTCAATTTTAGAATTATTTGAAATTGTGTAATTTATTCAAATCAGATTCAGATCATATTTTGGAAAATCTTGGGGAAGGAATTTCTTTTATTTTATTTTTTATTTTATTATACCTCTCTTGTTTTGGGCCCTCAACAGGCATGCGCCCAATTACAGAGTGACCCGCATAATGCTATTTAGAGGTGCCTCTGCAGAAGGTATTGTGAAAGTAGTGCTTCTTTAAATATTGGAATCAACGAAAAAAAAGAGGCTAACTGGATCAAGACGCCGACGGTTGAAAAGCATGTCATTCTATTTGCGCTCTTTATTTTATTCGAGCTATTCGCCCGATTTGATTGGTTCAGGAGGTAATTTGTTCAATATTCTAATAATTAAGTAATATTTTAAGAGTTTCTTAATTTATTTGTCTAACATCTGCGTGTGGGGTAATTTATCTAAACGAGCTTTGTAAACTTCTCCTTCTTTCAGGAATTATTTTTTATTTCATGTGTTTCGGATTCATCTGAGATTGACCTTTTCGGTATCCAAGATTTATTTTAGGTGTTGATCAAAATTTTTTTATAAATTCTTTGGCATTTTCGGAAGTTGATTGAGGCCACTACGAGGGCTACTCGTAAGATAAATGAACAACTGCTCACAGGTTACAAATACACTAGGGACGTGCCGGCCGCAAAACCGGATCTATACTGGATTCTATTATAATAAATAGCATTTCGAGGTTAAATAAAGGGTATTGGAGTATCTATAGGAGCAGAGACTTAAGCCACTACCTTTTAGTATCTTAATTACACGTACCTACTCAAAAATAGTAGACAGCATGCTAACCAAATTACTACTACAGAAAGAAAACATAAATATAAATGAGATGGGAAAAATAATTGAAAAAGACAAATAAACAAAATTGTGAAACCAGGAGATTGTCGATAACATTAAAACACATAGCAGCACAAGCAGGATAATGTCTGGGGGATCCTGCTTCCAAAGTATTGTTGAAAGAGAGGTTAGCAGCAAAATTTCATATCTCCTGAACGGATGGTGCTACTGACCTGAAATTTGAAGAAGGATGAGGCAGGATGCTAGCAGCACTAGCAGGATGAGGTTTGATTGATCCTGCGTCTAAAATGTTGCCAACTTTCCTCGCCTTTTCAATCACTATTTTCTGCTTATCCCGCCATCCTGCTTTTTACCCGTTAAATTTAGGGAGTTCTACAGCAGCTTGAATCGCCGTAGCTTCAGTCACGATGGCTGTGGTCGTCAACGGTCCTTCCATTTGCCCCTCAAGTGGTTGAAAAGTGAATTCTGACTCTCATAAGTCCAGATTCAGTTTCTCCTCCGAAGGATCGCCCTTCACAAGCATCTCTTCAGTCTCTGAATTGCTATTTGGAAGTCTCGAATCTTATTTCTCTAGGTCACCTTCAACAAAAAGTAAAAATGAAAAATTCCCACACTTCTTCCTCCTTTAAAATTTGCATAAATAGAAGAAGGTAAGAATAAGATGGAAATGCCGTCTCAATCAACGCTTGCATTTGCAGAACCCAAGACGTGCACAACACGATATTTCTACCACCTTTCAGATGTTCTTTACCACCTGAAGTTGAATGTAATTGCATTTCTCCTATCACGGTTCTAGCCCGAACTGCTCTAACTAAAAAGAAGCGCTGATATCCGATTGTGACAGTCATTTGGCCCGGTGACATTTAGTTCACTCGAATAAAGTCAAGTCATTTACATTCCATTGGGTATATCTCGAATCGTAGAATATGCAAACAGTTTCCTTTTTGGTTTAGGTACTGCACATTCATTTACTCCAATCGAGATAAGCCCGATGCCTTTTATACTGCCTAAAGTTTGTATGCATACATTCTTAGTAAATTGAAAAAGAATTACTCCAGTCGAACTTTCCGTCTAAGTTAAACTTCGTAACTTCGAGAGAAAGTAAAGGAAGTATTTTGCGCAAATTCGCCACGAGGCACATTAGAACAATTCCATTATCTTTCTTATGAAAAAGTACGAAAAAAATTAAGAATAATGTATGTAATTTGTTCCTCTTAGCTCACTTTTTCTAGTAAAACTTGGCTACTTAATAAACGTCTTTGTGAGAATTTTATTCCACGAAAGAGCGGTTTTTGAATTATTATAATTATGTGGGTTATTTATATAGTGTAAAACTACGGTAAATTATTTCAAAAGCAATAATTGTTTAATACATTTCTCAATTTCTGGACGAATTTTATACTTTACCTCAAGCTAATTTAAAATTACCAACCCTTGTGTTCGCAGACGTAAAAGTAGAAGTTATGTATCGCACTCTTTTAATGTTCCTGAAGACGGCATGGGCGTAGGGGTGGAAAATGCTTTTCAGGATTTTTTTAGTCGATGATAAGTGAAAATAATGGTCTATTTCAGAATTATTAACTGTATCGGATTTACTTGCTACTCTAATTTGACAACAAAATTTATCCACAACAGTATATAGGTACAATTTTAGGGTCCAAAGGAATATAGTAGGGCGCTTTGTTGAGCGAAGGTGTTGGGAAGGAACTGTGTAGGAGGATTGGAGGTCCTGACCTCCCTTCTAAATGTCAACGGTTCATAAAGCCACTACGACACGGATTTAGCCCCAGGTGTGCTTATTACTAAAAGTGGTTTTCCTGACCTTTATATAACGATTTTCCGATTTATAATGATGATAGTAGAGTATTAACCGATAATAGAACTTATAGCAGTCGTAGTCTACGCTTACTTCATCTGCTCCTAAGATTTCCCAGGTAAACAAATTCAAAAGTTTCGTATCAATCACGTTTATAGCAGAATAAAACTCTACACGTAAAAAATGGGCGGTTATATTCCTGTAGGAATATTATGCGTCTATTATCCCCATTGATATACGAGTTATATGCGTTTGCGGAATGCGCATTATTTTCGCATATGGAATATGTCAGTAGGCATTATTCGGGGGTAAATATACGAGAGCTTGATTTTTAATCGGATCATTTTATTTTTACACGAAAGTTTTGTCGCAACGGAAAAAAGCTCGAGATCAAAAGCGCGATATCTTATTATCCCGATTTAAAATCAAGATCGAGTGTATTTTAGGTAGATTAATACAAAACAATAAATTTCACAAACACTTTATATTTTACGCATTGCTTCACGCATTTTTATCGCGGATAAAAGGTTACGTAGCTTTTAATCGCTGTTAAAAAGCTGCCTACTCTCAGATTAAAAAGTATGTGCGGTCGAGAACAGAAAAATAACCATTGGGCCAATTTTAATGAACTGGGTATCAAGTTAAAG